AATATAAAAATTCTGCAATGTCAATTATTAAGAATGGAAACCTAATCATCCGATTTGGAGAGCAGTACTTGCCATGGGAAAAAGCTGCTCCTGTTGTTCTCGGAATGGCTGCATTTGGTTTAGAGTTACCTCTTGAGCCCCAAGATGCAGTCCCTGTTGAACAAGATGAGTCATCAAACCCGAAGGATGATGATTCTATAATCACTTCCACGTCCTCTGGCCGCAGATGGAGGCTCTGGTCTATACCGTTTAGAAGGGTCAAAACCCTTGAGCACACCAACAGCAATTCATCTAGTGAGGAGGTATTTGTTGATACTGAATCTGGTCTACAAAATTCACAATCAGATTCAACTCCAACATCCAGTGGAAGGATTGAATCTCCCCACAAGCAATTTATTAGGACAAATGTTCCCACTAATGAGCAGATAGCATCCTTGAATCTGAAAGATGGTCAAAATATGATCACTTTCAGTTTCTGCACCAGGGTTCTGGGAACACAACAGGTTTCAATTCTCTACTACTCAATTCTTCTGGTATGTTTGCAAGGTTTGTCGTATGCTCGAATTTTAGCCTCTAAAACCTATGGATCTTTAACAGGTTGATGCTCATCTTTACTTGTGGAAGTGGAATGCAAAGATAGTAATCTCAGATGTTGATGGAACTATTACCAAGTAAAGATTCTTTTATCTCCTGACGTTACCTCTCTGCATTATTTTAAATGTTCTAGGTTTTACCCATTTACAGAGCTGTATAAACTTACCTGTGATTCTTAGCATGATATTTATTCTAGAAATAGTAGAGAATTTCCTGACTAGACATCATTATGGTATGAGTATGGTACTGGAGCTATGAACTAATAAATTAAACTGGACTATTAAAGAAAAGGAGAAAAATAAACCATATGCTTATATTTGAAGTTGAAATCAGATCTTCCATTATGATTTTTATTATTAAAGCAACAATTAGCATTTCTAGAAGCTGTCATACCTGAATTGGTTTGTGGTTAAATCTTTCTTTTGAAATATGTTTCAATCATGTATAGTTTTAATACGAGATGTGTCTGTCAATAATTTTGATGTATTTCTTGCAGGTCAGATGTTTTAGGCCAGTTTATGCCTTTAGTTGGAAGGGATTGGACACAATCTGGTGTAGCTAGACTTTTCTCTGCTATCAAGGTTTGCTTTTTCTCAATTTGTTTCATTGTTCAACTTGCCTTAATTGAGCCTTTGTTCTGTTTTGGACTGTCATGCACAATTAGATCCAGGAAATGGCTCCAGTATGCTCCCTCCCTTTTTTAGGTTCACAACTGAAAACAAAAGTTGTCTTACATTTTGGTTTATAAAAGTTTCCACTGATGTAAGTGATGATAAATACCTTCATCATGTTTTAGACAGCAAGCTTATGGAATAACATTAGTATCATGATGATGGGAACATTATCCCATTACTGTTGCGCTTCTTAACCATTTTTTTTTATATGTATTTTTGCACTCCTTAGATACCATGTAGTAGCAAAATCCTTTTCAGAAGTTGTATCTCTGTCTGTTGACGTCTCTCACTAACATGTGCATGTGCATGCGCAAACACAATATTGTTTCTAGGGAATATCTGGTTCCAGTATCTGGTCACTTTGGATTTTAGTTTAAATGATTAATTTTAATTGAGTGTGGTTATTTATTTATTTCTTATGACAGCCAGTGTGTTTCTTGTATTTATTCCATTAGCTAACCTATGTTGACATGCATGTTAGTAAAATGATTTCCTTGGGTATCTGATGTCAAATACTTAAGTTTATGTTCACAACAGGAGAATGGATATCAGCTGCTGTTTCTCAGTGCACGTGCAATTGTTCAGGCATATCTAACCAGAAGTTTTTTACTCAACCTGAAACAGGTAGTGAAATAGCCAGGTTTTGGTGTTCTTAACTGAATATTTCAATATTAGAACATTCTATGAGTTAATTTTTTTAATTTTTAATTCTTCAAAAGTATTATTTGTATTAGGAAATACTAGTTTTCCTAAAAGGCTATATGAAAAATAACAACTAAAGAAACAAGTTAACATTTTGAAATCATCTTCATTCTTAAGATGGTTTGATTTTGAAATTATGAGTTTGTAATCAATTTTTCACTGATTGCTTTGGTTTTGCAGGATGGAAAAGCTTTACCCAATGGACCTGTTGTTATTTCTCCTGACGGTTTGTTTCCCTCATTGTACCGTGAAGGTAAGATCTTGCCCTTTTTTGGGACATTTTTTGAAATCTAGCTTGTTTTTAAAGTTTGCATCACAATTTTATGGTTTCAGCTACTTGAGAGCAAAAATACCGATTACATCCCATCAGAGAACCTATAAGTGATAAAAGTGGCTGTCTTTGCTGTTTTGACCTTCTATTTATATCAGAATCTTTAGGCTATATCGTCTAGTTACATGCATTATCTCTCCTCCCCACTCGACCCCTTTTCTTCTTTTTCTTCCTTCTTTGTAATAATTTACAAGTTAACCTCTGATTTATTCTGCAATTTCCCCCTTATTGATGCCAGTGATAAGAAGAACACCTCATGAATTCAAAATAGCATGTTTGGAGGTAAATTCTAAAATACTAAACCTTTCTCAATGTAGATTGAAACAATTACTTGCAACCGGATCAATCTTTTCGCCTTTGATTTCTTTCTTTTATGCGCATTGCAGGATATCAAGAAACTTTTCCCTTCTGATTACAATCCGTTTTATGCGGGCTTTGGGAACAGAGACACAGATGAGCTCAGCTATAGAAAAATTGGGATCCCAAAGGGCAAGATATTTATTATTAACCCAAAGGTACATATTTTCTATGGAAAAAAGTGAAGGAAAGGAATCGAAACATGTCCTGGCATTACTGTATGAACTTTCTAACAATCTGATTCAAACTGGCAGGGTGAGGTGGCTATTAGTCGTATTGATGTGAGGTCATACACTTCGTTGCATACTCTTGTCAACGACATGTTCCCCCCAACCTCGTTGGTTGAGCAGGTAAGGAGTATATTTCTTGCCTCTTTAAATAGAATGCAAAACAAGAACAGAAAAATTCTCTGCCACTGTCCCTGATTTCTTATGGAGCCTTGAATGATATCCCTGAATTTTCCGATACCTTTGCAGGAAGATTTTAACTCCTGGAATTTTTGGAAAGTGCCATTGCCAGATATTGAGTGAGATAGTCGGTGGCTTACAGAATTCAGTTTAATTCTTCCAATGAGATGATCAATAGCATGAAGTCCCCCATAGAGAACAGAGTTTTCTGACATTCTTCAAGTTTTTAACCTTTGCTTCCACTGTCACTCACTCATTTATTTTCATTGATGACCTTCAAGTGGTCTGTAAGGACTCATCTTGTATTAGATAGATAGTCTAAGTGAATAAAATCTGAAGTCATTGCTTCCCATAGCTGTATGTACCATTAGAGATCAAAACATTTGTTTGTTGATTTAGTTTATGATTTTATAAAGTGTAATTAAACCCTTTTTATATTAATTTAAATGAAAATACTCATCAAGAGAAGCTGGCGAAGAAAATCCAAAAATATTTAGATATCTCTAATTAGATAAAGAGAAACTCATAAAGCAAGATTCAAACTTAATTACAAGCAAAAACATATATATATATATATATATATATATATATATATATATTACCACATTATATGATATTGGTCTTAGAAATTTCCCTTATTTTTTAATATTGAGAAATTGCTTTTGATGATGAATAAGATTTTCATCTTATAGGTAAAGCAGAGGCAAATAATTATGGAAAAGAGGCTTTTTCCACATTTAGGCAGATTATTCATTCTATAAATTCACGAAAGCCACCATGGTGATTTTTTTTCCGAATTACAAAATTAAATTTAATAATTATAATTCTTTTTCTGAAAAAAAAAATAGTTATTTATATTGCATCATCACTAAAAGAGTTAGGTGACATAATAATACGGTAATAAAAAAAAAGAAATTATCGTAATTGAGATAAGAATTTATTTTTGATGCACGGTCTACATTATTATTTAATGAAAAAATATTATTTCATAAATATATAAAAATAAAAATTTAAAAATTCTTTAGAAGAAATATTTTAAAAATTATAAATATTTATTTTTTAAAATTTTTTAATTAATTTATTGATGAGATGATAATATTTGATTTATTATTAATACATGTAATTTATATACCCATGATTTATTTAATATAAGTTTTTGAGACAAAAGCAAATAAGTTTTAGTAACGAATTTTTAGTAATTTCTTTTGTTCTCTAAAAGTTAAAAAGCATAATACTTAAATAAAATTTTAAACTATTTAATAATATTTAAATAAATTTTTATTTTTTTATTAAGTTCAATCAAATTTTTGTATTTTTATTTAAGTTAAATAAAATTTTATAACTAATGATATACTAATATTCAATAGTAAAAATATTATTTATTGTTTTATATTCATATAATGCTGATATGATATTAATGTGAAGAGTGAAAAATATTACGTGATTAAATTATTATATCAAATTAATATGATATGTCATCATTAATTATGATATGTCAATATGTTACATCATAATTAATTATAATATTTTAATATATTACATTAACGTCATGATATGTAAAATAACAAATGATATTTTTATTAAATCAATCATTAATAATAAGAATTTATTTGACTCAAAATAAAAAATATAAAAATTTATTTAATTTAAAATAAAAATATAATAAAAATATAAAAATAACAGCAATACCATATTTGCTGGTCATGGATATCAATGGCATTTTTATTTTTTAATTTTGTGAAATTTAGAAAAAGAATGTTGGTCATTAAACAGAAAGGAGGAAAGCGAAACAAAAGGCATGGGACTCGTCAATGTCCAAAGTTATTTATCTATTTTGTTTTTGTTCTTTGACTTTTTCTCTTCCTTTCGTCGCTTTTCCTAGCATGCAGAAGTGACAGCTTTTTTACGACGATATTCAAACGCCTTGGTCGTGTTTCCTCATTTATTTTCGTCGGAATTTCGTCGTCTTTTGAGGTAGGGAGAAATGTCATGGATAAGAACGGCGGTGAACAGAGCGGTGGAAGTAGGAGGCAACAACAACCTGACACGCACCGTAAGGAGCTACGCCGATTCCGTTGTGCAACATGCAGGGTCCGCCGTCGCGGGAGGTGCCAAGATGATCCAGTACCGCATTGTAATTCACTTTTTTTTTCTAGCTTTCAGTTCCAAACAATGGCGTTTTCTCTTCTTTCGGCGGGATTTTTTTTTTTAATATTTTTGAGTTATTCAGGCGGCGAGGAATATGCAGAACTTTCGGCTAACCGTGAAGAGACTCGAGGAAGTTTCGGTGTCATGTAGAGGAGTTGAGAGAGTTCAGCTTTTAAGAAGATGGCTCGTCGCCCTAAAAGAAATCGAGAGATTATCTAATGACCAAAACAATAAAGATATTACTGACGATGAAAATACTAACAACAGCGACACTACAAAGAGTAATGACAACGACGAAAACGCTGATGATCAGTTTTCTTTCGAGGAGTTCAAGGATCCTCCTAAAAAGCCAATTTTGGTCGGTAATCTTTTGTATTTCTTTTATCATTTTATCTTATCTTGAAGAAAGTTGTTTCAAATTTTCTTGATGTCTGCAATCTGACTATTGATCATCACAGGTCTATTACTTTGATCCTCAAATCAGCCAACCAATGAATTTCCGAGAGGTTTTTCTTTACAGTCAAGCTCTTGAAGGCATGACGTTGTCTATGGTAGATGCCTGATTGATGCCAATGTTCTTTTGTTTGCATTGGAAATGATCATGACATAGTTATAGTTAAAAGAAAGAATTAGCAGTGCATTTATGGTAATCATAAAAATTTTGTGTAAGCATTGTGCTTGCATTCATAATGTTATCAATATTTTGCTTGGCAATGCTTGCATTCATGAAGGAAATAATCTTAAAACTAAAGCATTTGAGAAAATATTGTGATAGCTGACCATTGAAATTTACTTGAGTTTGAAGTCTAATGATGTCATAGTTTATGTTCCTTCTGTTGCTTCATTGAGTTTTCATGCTCATGGGAGAGCATTTGATGGATGCTCTCATAAGCCATAGCTTGATTCTTCATTACTAAGATTAAGGATCATCATCTGTTATCAATACCGTATTTAATCTAATGATCATTCTGAGTAATTTGAATCATGTTATATCATTAGGTTAGGCCTTTTTCGGCTGGATATGTGTAATCTAGATATCTATAACCTGCTGTATCAACCTGGACTCCGGCAGACTAATTTACGGATTCATATGGTAGTTAGGGTATACCATATTTTTTAAGAACCAACCGGAAAAACAAGTTTTGTACTTGTTTTTAGAGGTTTTGGCACTGCTACTGGCCACTAGAGAGCTGCAGCATTATGATACTGAAATTTTCTCTTCATTTTTGTGTAACTTTGAGTGCAATGCATATTTGGGCTTTGTATTTGCTGATCGATTGAGTTTAACCGCAGGGTACTCTTTTGTATGACTCAGATTCTTGAAGCACCAAATGAGGAAGAGGTTTCACTATTTTTGGAGATATTTAGGTGGTTTTTCTCACTCTTTTAGTAACTTTTAATGTCTGATACTTGGCCATACTGGCCTAAATTAATCTCTTAAATATATTACACGAATTTCAAGTAGACTTCTTTGTTTGGTCATATACAGGATCTGTCTTGCAGGAGGAAAGGAAGTTCATGAGGCAGTAATGAGCAGCATAAAGAATTTAGCAATGGCATTCTCAAACTATCAGGAGGAAGTGCTGGTAAGTACATTGTACTTATTTTACCTTAATGTATAGCATAAATATGACCTCTTCCTCTCATTCTTTCCCTCTTATTTCTCAGGTAAAACGAGAAGAATTACTCCAATATGCTCAAGCTGCAATTGCAGGGCTCAAGATAAGTGCTGATCTTGCGAGGTGGTTAATGATAATATCTTTTTTATTGCTGCATATTTGGACATTAATTTACGATTCACAACTTTCAAATTTCTACACTTCTCTTTGTATTTTACAATTATTGTTTCAAACCAACTACTATGTGCAGTGCTTATTTTGGTGTTTTCAATGATTCTGCTTCCATATATTTTCCCTTAACATCCTTGATCTGTATTACATAGGCTTGTCATAGACCTATGGTACCTGCATTAGTGTGGGTAAGGGCCTATGCGGTATCTTGCATCTCAAAGGGATTAATCCTGGCCTTCTTGGAAGAAAGATATATCACTCATGGATGTCAAGATGTGACTGTAATGTTCCGTGGGATACAAATTTTTGAAGGAAATACTGTTAATTAGATTTAGAAATCTTGGCCATATTTGAACTTTGATCTTCTAGAAATATCACTTTTGATTGTTTAATATGGATTCGTTACCATTTGTTTAAATGTTTAGGCAATTATAAACACTTGTAGGCATGTATAATTGTCACAAAATAGACTGAACTGTAATCTTTCCCTCCACTTGTTTCTGTGTCTGCTATCAGAATAGATGCTGAAGCCTGCAGTCTAAAGGAAAAACTTGGAGAAATGAAGGCACTCCAGAATCCTTCAAGTGAAGGTCATGAAGAATCACCTGAAAAACAAACTGCTGCAATGATAGAGGTATAAATATTCATGCATACTTGTGCACAATTTCTGGTTTGGAATGTTGTTGAACTAAACTGACCAAACAACCTGAACAAATCATAACCGTTTCCCATTAAAACTGAGAAGCCGAATTAACCAGCCTGTTTGCACCAAATTGAGTTGGTCAATTCATTCTTTTTTTTTCTTTTGGTTAAAACTGGAATTTGCTCATCTATAAATAACTATTGCTACAATCCTCTTGCAGTGATATCCTAATATTCATTTGCAAAATAGAGTGAAAAAGTGCTTTATCATTGCAGTAACGTATAAAACTGAATGTTTTGATCTTCCCTGTAGGCTCTTAAAGAAGCTCTTGGACAAGTGAGGCTATATTCCAGATTGGAGGCACTCTTATTACAGAAAAAATCTTTAAGCAACGGGGATTCTCCAAAACTTCATGCTGAAAAGGTGCTTCTCTTCCACCTCAAAAGCAAGCATCTCTTATTTATATTATATGGCAGTTGGTTCACTGCAATGTGTTAAACAATATTTGAGGCTAACCACCAGCGCTTATCTTTTAAACATATGGGCAAGATGCTAAGGTGTTTTTAGGAAGAGAGTTCATGCTAACCTGTTGTAAGCAAGGTCATCGTTTGATACCCTGCAGTTCTTTGTTCGTTCTGTTAATGCACCCGCTCTAATCTGTTACCCTAATGAAAGTGTCTTTTTTACCATCACATCTTGGAAAGATCTGTTTGCAAACCAAAATCTGTTCAATGATCACTTGCAGATTAGTTATTGAAAAAAAAAATGGGAATCTAGTACGCTGTCATGTCTACTGTGATAGTGTTTTTATAGTTTACCAACAAGTGTTTCTTCTTTTTTTCCTTTCAATCAATTAGATGTTGTATGGTTTATGCAAATAGCAATGGTTCTCCTGACCCTCTGCTTACTAGAACTGTTAATTATGCTATTATAATATGGTCCATTTTTGTTGTAGGTCGACAAATTAAAAGTTTTATCAGAATCTCTCGTTAACTCAACCTCAAAGGCTGAAAAGCGCATTGTAGAGCACAGGTTTTAAAGGGATCATTACTTCTCTATTTTCCCATTTGAAATGTTTAGATCGTTGTGTTGTCCTTTTCTCATTTTAAAACTGTATGCACTGACATTTTAGGGCAAGAAAACGCTCAGGAGTCGGCTACTTATAGACAGTTTCTTATTTAACTAGATTGCATTACATGAATTTTAATTTTTGAAAGTTAATTAGTGAAAGAACTAAAACTAATATGAAGCTGGGAAATTTGCTAGTGTTAACCAGATATGTTGGTTAGATGATCATTATTAATTCGACAGCAAATATAACATTTCTTGTCAAATAAGGCAAGGAGAGTTCCTTCTGTCTATATACATCGTGTTTTAATGGCTTCTTGCAGTTTGTTTTTTTAATGGAAATTTCAGTTGTCTGCTTTAGCATTTTATAGGTACAAATTCTCTCTTTTTAATGTTCTTGTCCATCTGTAATTCAATCAGGTTTCAGAAAGAAGAAGCTCTCAGCTTTCGTGTTGCTAAAGCCAACGAAGTCAGCCAACATGAGAAGGTACTATTCCTCAAGGGAAGCTCTGTCCTTGTCTTATGAGAATGTTAAATGAAGAACGTAACCATTATTCATTTAGATTGATCTCTTTCTGAGATGTATACAAGGCATTGATCCCTCCTTAGTTCTTCCTCCATCTCCTCTTTGTCGTGACCATCTAGGAGGCATCAATCTATAAAGTATAAGTTCCTTTGAGAACTTTTGTTTTCCATTTATATTTCTGTGAAACTGTTTCTGTTATACAGAGTATGATTGACACTCAATATAGTCCCTATGCTTTCATTCTATTTATCAATTGATTTATCATCATCATAACATAAAGTAACGAGGACTCAATTGGGACTTACAATTTATAATTCATATCTGTGGATTAAGTAATACTTTCTCAACTGGTTTCTTATGTGACATTTGTACATTAAAGTAAATTTTTATTTCTTCTTTTTATTTTTCTTCTTTCTTTTCTCGAGGAATATGAAAGATATTTGACATGGTATTTCCCAGGAACTAGAAGAAGGGATTCAGAAGCTTGAGAAGCAAAAAGATGAACTTGAAGCTGAATTACAGAAGGTTTTTCTTTAACACTCCCCACTACTCTCTCTCTCTCTCACTTCTCTTTTCTTGGGCAACTTCTCTTTTCTGAATGGTACATCATCAGGCATTCCTCAGTTAAGATTCAGTTCCGCCCTTCTTTTGTAAATATACATTTGTGGTCATGTGTGTCAAAGATGAATTGCCAGTTCTATTACCTCCAATACCTTAATGCTATATATAATTGCTATTGCTACATTAGTCCTGGGGTTTTCATCCATATCTTCTAGAGTGGGATTACAGTTTATGGATGTGAATCTGGTTCAGGTCAATGCATCACTTACTGCTGCTCGAGCACGCCTTCGCAACGCCAAGGAAGAGCGAGAGCATTTTGATGAAGCCAGTAATCAGATTCTGTTACTCCTGAAATCAAGGGTATAATTGCTTTCACTATCACCATGGTACTAATTAGATCATATGCTTTTATAATGATCCATCTATTCATATATATAATTTGCAAGACCAGTTTGCCACCTATTCTGAACCCCTAGTTTAATGTCTTCATTTTTTCATTCTTTCTATTTCTTTTGGTCATAGGAAGAAGAAATTTCAAAGTCGCTTGCTTCATGTAGAGTAGAAGCAGATGTCGTTAATGCATGGATTAACTTTCTGGAAGATACATGGATTCTCCAAACCACCTACAATGAACAAAAGGAGAAGCAGGTCAAGTACGTACATCAATTTCCTTTTGACCAGCTGATGAATTGATGTCAGCCCTCCTATAGTTTTATTGACTACACATCCTTCTGAAAATAAGAAATGGTTGCGATATCACATTACTTATGTAATTAATAGTTTATACGACTAAGTTGATATATCTAACTCTAAACTGTGAAACGATTACTTTGAGTTTGATTTTTTTATTTCCTTTTATATTTGCTAGTGGTGAACTAGAGAGATATGGAGAATATTTTGTGAATCTGGTCATTCACCTTCTATCTGCTTACAAGGTATTGCTCTAATATCTTTATCCAGAAAGCTCTTCAAACTTAATGATAATATGTCCACTTGCCATTCTTGACTCTGGTGAAACATGTGTTCCTGTTTTCTTATTAATACGTTGGTATCTATCCTTTATTAAGGAACAACTGGAGCGTTCCATCTCACATATTAGACAACTGGTAGAGAACTTGAGCTCAAGTGAAAGGTATAGTGCTTTGTTTCTTTGAAAATTCAGTGCATGATTAAGTCAAGCTTCTTAATTGTTTTACTAAATCAGGTCAGGGAGAGCAGCTAAGGATGAATCTCAAAAAGGTCTTAACCAAAGGAAAAATGTTGAAGAAGAATATCTGAACCTTGAATCCAAGGTATCTATGAATTTTCATATATTGAGACAACATCTGAATGTGGTTTATTTTCATTTAGAGTCATATGCTACTTTTCTGAGTTCCTATAATATTACAGGAAGCCTTTTTCTTTTAACTCATCTATTGTGCTTAGGGCCCTAAGAGCTAGACAAAAAAAAAAATCTTTTTATTGTTTGTATTTATTGACTAGCAGTAATGCAATATGCACCACATTATCATGTTTAGAAATGACATGATTCCCTTTTTGTGCAGATTTCAAATACCTTAAGTGTAGTGGATTCAATGAAAACACAGTTTTATTCTCCAAATGAAGGCATTCAGAGGTACACAATTCTATTTTGTTTCTCTTTCTCTTTCTGTATGAGGAAACATAACACAGCCATTAATGGTTCATGGTCCTGATCCAGGAAAAACAATCAAAGGGTCAAAGAGCTATTTGATAATCTTGAAAGCATTAAGGGAGAATTTGAATCCATTGAGAGACCAACTTTTGAAGTTGAAACTCCAAGTCAAAAATCACAGTCACCATCCAGCGCAAAGGCACAGAGAAGTCCATGGTCGCGATTAAGGTCTTCCTCAAGGAGGGCAGAACAGAAGAAACTGAAATTTGAATTCGAAAATGACGATGGAGAAAGTTCAGAGTACGAGACAGAGGAGATTGTTGAGTGGGAGTATGATGCATTTGAAAAGGATCTAAAACCCAGCAACTAACCAAACCAACCAAATATTGCCTAATTTATCTGGCAGATGTTGTTATCATGCATGAATATGCCTATGAAAAGAGGTGAAGCTATCTTCTGGCTCCACTGCTCTATGTAATTGTGTAAGATATCTAGTTACTTTGGCAACAGCTGCAACTAGAGGATTGAAAGTTCATTGTATGTCCAATGTTATGGTGTAAATTCTCCAATGTTTTCATACTGAAATTGTATAGATAACTCAGAACAAATGTAACTTGTGTGTAATTCTTTATACCAAGATATTCTCTATTTTTCTTCAGGCTCTATGGTTCTAGTAATTCAGTAATCAGGAATTCTTTCTCTGTTTGATCAACAAGTAATTTACTCATCTTCCTGCAAAAACAGTAACTTACTCATCAGTGGAACATGTTTTCATGCAGGGGAGGACAATGTGAAGCATGAAATGGTAACATGGCTGATCACTCAGACCCGATACAAAATTATCAACAAAAACTATCCAAAAAGAAATAAAGAAGGGGACAGTTCCCTGAAATTTTTACCAGCAAAATATGCAAAAGCAAGAGGTACAATGGCACACTTCTGCCAAAAGGGGTTGATTGCAGTAACACTGACCTCAGGAAAGCTACAGCATAAGGGTCATTAATGATGTTACATTAGATGAATTCGTCCGCTCTGAGAACTCAATAAAAGATTGCAATAATTTGACAACTGTAGTACCACCAATCTTTCCAGGATTCCTGAACATAATGCATTCAAATCAATGGGTTCTAAAGAGTGTTCTAAAAGACCCAAAACAAAACAACTTTAAAGGTCAGTACCGTAAATGATAAATCCACTTGTAAAGCGCAGTTCTCTGAAAGTGACTCCCATTGACCCATTGGGCCTTGGCTTTGAACTTTTAGGTGTCACCTCTGAGGTGTAATTGCTACTTTGAGTCTTTTTGACAGGGGCTCAGAAAGGCAAATGATGCAGCCATTTTACAGTTTAAAAATGCCTGAAGCCGCAATGAAAGGTGAGAGATCCCTCTTTGAACTTAGTGACCATCTCTCCACCTGTACATGAACCAAAGCTTTTGGTTGCTCAGACCAGCATCACGTGATCACCTGCTTCAAGTGTTGCTGCAAAAACCAGCTTGCCTTATTCCGGAGCAGTGATTGGCTTTCTATTTGCTTCCTTTTGAATCTTCATTGCTTTAACCCCTCAAATATAAATAAATAAAAAATAAAATAAAACCCAAAATTTTTTACCCTCACTTGCAGTTAAATTTGCCTGTCAAATTCTTTTACTACTAAACTGAACTTGAGATTGCCCTCATTATGACTTAGCATTCCTTCTCATTTCTGCTGTAATTTGTACTTTTCAGGATTTAACAGGTCTAGTTGTACAAAACTACAAATCCAAGTGCTGTGTTCTTATTGAATATTGCGGCTGGTTTTGGATCAAAGGTGGAGGATTTTGACCAAAGTAAGCTATTAGTACAAGAGCAGACAAGCAAAAAGCCCTCAAGCCTAGGATAAACCTCGTCCCACCACCAAAACATTGGGGTTTATGCCCTGTTTTTATTTTTCTGGGTGAGTGGAGCTTATGCTTGTTGTTCGTGAGGTCAAACAGCTGCAGTGAAAAACTTCTAAAAATGGAAGAATCAAGAGAGGAAAAAGGGTTCAAAGTGTTTCTCCCCATGCTTTGACCTAGTCAAATGGTTGGCACACAAACATTGTCCCCATAGCGATAGGCTGACATAGCACACATAGCAGTTCTTGGAGACAATAATTTAGCTTAAAGATTGCAAACTTGCATTATAATAGTACCCACCTCTCTCTCTCTCTCTCTCTCGTAGGGTCTAATTTCTTTATTGAATTGTAACCCTGAAAGTGCAAAAAACCAGGTTTTGAAAAAAGGGCTGGCCTTTTGAAATTCAAAATCTTGCCTGCAGAGAAGTTTGCGGATGTGCAGAAAACAACAAGTCTGTTGTATATATAAATGTTATAACTTGATTAGCATTTTGTTTTGTATTCTGGGAATAATTCTGTTTCTATCTTAAACACTTGAAGGGTTCAGGATGGAACCAAAATCAAATAAACTAGAGAGGAAAACATACTTACTTTACTTACCAACTAGCTTGAAGAGTACAACTTTGCAGAGTGAGAGTGTAAAGATTATGGTGTGGTAAGGGAATGGGATACACTTAAATTGAGGGCAGACCGGCAGATGCCTAAAAATCCTTGAGGACTCCCAAGTGGATACACCATCATGCATATCATAATTTCAAATAAGATTCCATCTGATCCCTTTTGATCTATTCTTCTTCTACTTTCATTTTCTTAAACACTGTTGAACAGATTTGTGTGTGCTGCTTACATTGAAACTTCTAATAAAAACAAAGGCACTGTCACCTTCTTGCTGGTGGTGGAAGATTCTTACCTTCTGCACCACATCTTCAAGTTCAAAGTATATAAACATGCAACACCCAAGTGCCTTAAAAACATGGGGTGCACCAAGATTGTTATCCACTTTTTCCTACAATCGACACAGTCCTTGCGTTATAGGGATTTGATCAGATGGTTTAAGCACACCCCCTTAAGCTTAACTAGCTGAATGGGTCAGAAGTTCATTGGCTATGGATGCAAGCTAAATTCAAAAGAGAAAAAAGCATAATAATAAATACAATGTGAAGATTCTTTGCATTCTTTTCTTTCAAACTGGAAGATTGTTGTAAGAAGACGAAGTGCAGAATTTAGGAGGTAAAAGGGCATGAGGTAAATGATGGAATAGTAAAATAATAATAATGATAATAATGATAATAATAGTAATAACAGTAACAGACTCCAACCCAAGGCTAGTGTATGCAGAAGGGATTAAAATGCAAAATGCAAAATACTACATACATGGGTCAGTCAGAGGCTGTTCAGCTGAGGGGGAAAAAATCCACACTGTTTTCTACATTTTATTGCTTGGAACCATTCGAGATATTACTACAAAGGAGAAAAAGAGAGAGGAAAAAATGGAAAAGACCTGACAACTCCTTACCTTATGATTTTATTTTTCTAACTTGGCTCCATCCTCACTTTAAAGGATGCCCCTGCCCTCTCTTTCCTCACAAAGCTCACCTTCCCATAAGCTGAGCATCTCCGAGAGAGAGAGAGAGAGATTGTTGACAGTTCACAAGATGGCCACAAGCCAAGCTTCATGTAACCATGCAGATGAAGACTATATTGATATGGAGGTAAGCTCATCCTCCAACTTCTTGTGTTACTCTATAAGCTCTCCGCCACAAAGCATAGAGTTTGAGTTCCAAATGTGTTCAGTTGCTCGAGACGGAGAAACCTCGACTTCCCCTGCTGATGAGCTCTTCTACAAGGGAAAGCTCCTTCCCCTCCACCTCCCTCCTCGCTTGCAAATGGTTCAGAAACTACTACAAAGTTCTAACAGTACATTTGAGACCAAAACTGACGCACCCTTTGAAGAAAATTCTGCTGTTTCTTTCATAACAGGCTCTGCTACTCTCTCAACTAATACAAGTACCCCATTGGAATCCTGCAGCATCTCCCCGTCGGAATCCTGCAGGGTGAGTAGTGAAATAAACCCGGACGACTATTTCTTTGAATGGTCAACTGAACTGAATGGCTTCATTGGCAATGATTCGAAGAGGTCTTGGTCTAGAAAGCTCAAGCAGTCCTCAATAAGCCAAAAGCTCAAGGCATCGCGGGCGTATCTTAAGTCCTTGTTTAGTAAGTCTGCCTGTTCAGATGAGTCCTGTGCCAAAGCAGCATGCAATGCAGAAGCAGAAAATGTTTCAAAGAGCAAAGATCGTTTGAACAAGTACACGAAAATGGCAAAGAAGAACCCATTTGGAAAGATTGACAATGACAGATTCAAAATATCAAGTATTATCATGAAAAGCATTGACAAAGAGTTTGCTGAGGAGGCTGCAAATAGCCATAGGAGGTCTTTTTCAGGGGCTATTCAACGGCATTCTGCAATAAAGTCTTCATCTACATCAACATCTTCATCTGGTTCTTCTTCTTCTTCTTCATCTTTTTCATTCAGTTCAAGCGGATTCTGTGATTTACAGTTGCTGAAAAGGAGCAACAGCGCCAATTCAGAGATTGAAAGTTCAATTGAGGGAGCAATTGCTCACTGCAAGCAGTCTCAGCAGCCGCCTAGTTCAAGAAAGACTGCAAGTGAACTTGGGGTTTGTTCACTTTCTGTTTCAAAGATTGCAGTTAGTGGGGACCAAGAAAGACCAGGACTTCGCAGCATATGAATATGAAAATACTTTGGAAAGGACTGAAAATCCACCATAAGAAGCAGAAAGACAATTGAAGTTGATTGAGATGGTATTAAGTTCCTGTTACATTCTTCAAAGTGAGTGGCATTTTAATGCAGTGTGATATTCAGATACTTTGCATGATTTTCCAGCACTGTTTGACAAGACCAAACTTGTGAATTTTCCTGTAATACTTGTCTATGGAAGAACATATTGAAGCCCATTATTGTTCAAATAATAGAAGAAAAAAAAGACTAGAGATTCTTCCATGGAAGATTATCATTCAAAATCAATAGTCCAGCCCCACTTTATAGCTTCCTTTTTGTACTTGCTCAAGATATTGCATGATTAGAATTAGTTGAATCCAGTATCTGTTTGCTTGATTTTTCTTTTCCACCATTTCCTTTACTTTCCTTTTCCATTTTTTCTTCTTGGACTGGGACCAGACATTCTCTTTTACAACGACTTGCCAGTAAGCCTTAGAGCATCTTTTCACATTGGACAATGATCCTTACCAATTAACCTTAGTTTTACTCTACTGATGCTAAGTTTAATAGTCAATTTCTGCTGTTAACAATGAATAAATCAGCTGGAAAAACAACTGTCAGTTCCCCCTCAAGTGAAAAAGAAGATTTTCAGTAAAATCACCAGAACTTTAAGTCTGTAGATTCTGTAAGAAACGTGGTGTATTTTTTCAAAAGTTTTTTCTTTTACCTGAAGCTTTTTCCCTGAATTAGATTCTCTATTACTGTTTCTCAGCCTTTCAGGCTTTATCCACTGCCACTACCCCAGGTTTCAACTTTCAGGAAGCGGGGAGATATGAATATGTCCAGAAAATGAGGACTGCCATCTTTTTTATCTTTTTCTCTTTTGTAAAGAGAAATTTCACTTTCATTTGAATAATTTCAATTAATAAAAGATGACTTTAATTTCTCAACTTCAATATTAAAATCATTAGGAAACAGTCTGGTGATTGACCAAAAGTAAGTTCTGAAAAATCTTTCTATTTTCACCTAATCCAAACAAGCCAACAACAATGAGTGCCCTTTCTTTGTATGGGCTAAATATGTCCCTTTACCCTGTGAGTGAGGAGCTGGGTGCCTGCATAAGGGAGAGCGACCCTGCAATCCTAGATTAAAATATTGGGTTATAGATTATATTCTGATACCTAAAGACCTTGGTTAGAGGAGTAAACAGATCCTTTGTCCAGGACAAGCATGATCATCCCCCTGCAGAGCAGCATAGTCTACTGCATATTAAGACTAATCTATGCCTAAAGCTTTGGATTATTGCATTAGATTACTATTTACGAAATGGTCATTACAATGATTTTGATCACAAGATGTCCTCTTTCTGCCCCTGAGGATGGAAAATGTGTACTGTCATTATTAACCCCAAACTGAAAATGAAATGAACAGAATTTTAGCTGTCACAAACAAAACAAAAACTTTCACTCATCTTATTGTTATTTTCTCATGATTTTGACTAATCATGAGACTAAACAAAACATGCCTGCTAGATTTTTGACAAGATTGGAAGGAAAATAAGGAAATTGCATAGCAGCTAATTGACAGATGTTGGGCACCAGGAGTACAGACAACTATAAAAAGGCAACTCTTTTTCCCCACCTGTTTGATCAGGTTTGTCCATTTGGTGAGAGAATTTTAGTGCAAGGTACTCAAACTTGTAAGCTTGTAAAAAAGGATATTAAATTTCAATGGAAACTTGAACTATCTATGCATAAAGACAAAAATTTGGACACAAAAATTATATGGTTTTCCAGCACATATGCTTCATGTATAACTGCTGTAAGTAACTATGGGGCTAGCTAGGTTTGGCATGGAGGAAAGGGAAAGCAGAAGGATGAAAAATTGTTCCATCTAATGGTTAGCTTTCAATGTTGAAATGCAGATAACATAACCTAAGAATAATAAGCTTGTCCTTTCTTCCCTCGAAATGTACTGTTAGGGGATGGAACAGATCAAATACCTTACTAATGCATCCTCATAGTCCACCCTATAAGGTTCAGTAGTGAACTCTTCAAAGAGTTGCCTCTGCTTCTTGCTTATAGTGGTAAAGAAGTGAGATGACATCAAAAGGTTTTTGTTGCCTTTTGAATCTTCCTTTACTTCAGTAAAGAAGGTACATTCAAGTGAGAATCCAATTATTCATGATCTACAGACCAGAGCAATCAAGAAAAGCAATTTGATGTCCAAAATATAGACCTATATAGGGATGGAGGTTTGAATTACCAAAAACGAAAGGATGGACCATATGTGGAATTTGATTGGACCAGTCAGCAAGTGAAGCATGTGAAAAATGTCAGGATAGGTTCAAGGCATCAACATTATTTCCTGAAGAACATTTTTTAAATTACAAAAATTCTGTAAGCAACTTGTCATCTTCTTACACTTTGTTCCGAAGCACCATGCACCTTCAGCATAATGTTACCATGTATAATATAAGCAAATCTTCCCTCATACTCATTTCAAATTAAACTTTAATAATCTCTCTCTCTTTTCGTGATCGGAAACGAAGCCTTGATGACCTTAGATTATCATTATGATAACTAGCAGCATGTCAAAGCCTCATAGTTAAACATTAAGTAAACTCTTGTTATATGCCAGAAAGGGGAAAAGAAAAGCTAAAAGAAAGAAAATCTCTGCTTTAACACTTTAAAATATTTTAAGCTATCATTGGAAAAGTTGGGAACCAAATATGCAACTGCATCAGTAGGTCCATGTGCATGTTGTCTGATTCATCTGGGCAAATTTTTCTCAATTGGTCGATCTCCTTGAACACCCTCTTTGCTACTGTCCTGATTATCAACAAGAAAAGAACGAACAAAAAATCATAAGAAAAGGTTCATTGCATTTAGCATTGATTGAAGAGAAAAAGGACTAGTTAAAACTCACCTTAAAAATACAAGCATAACGTAACTCCAGCAAAATATGTTGACAGCCTTCTGAATACAGATCAGAAATTGGAATTTCCATCAGCAGGAGACTCATGGACTTTGTAACAATGCCGTTAACTTTGCCACTGGAAAAAGTCAGATATGAGATAACAAGGATTCAAATGGGAAGGACATGAAAAGATGTTCTAGAAAGCAAGTGTCCTACATGCAGATAGAGTCTGTCACCATTATGGTTAAGTCCTGCTGCCTTAGCTTGAATGAACCCATGGTAGTATTCAACATTAACAGGAAATATCAAACTTTACATCTTTCATTTTTAAAGATTTAAGGAAGGGTAAGCTATTTGTCTTTTCAATATGGTATCCTAAGTTCTTTAAATTTGCAGTTTTCACCTTGAGTTCTCGAAATTCCCCCTTTTTTTTTTTTATGACTTAGTCCTTGCCTAAGAGTTTAAACTACTCGGCGGACAATTGATAGCAAAACATAGAGAACACTATCAGAACCGATACCAACCAAATGACAGAAAGGTTAAGCCATAATTGAAAATTTTAGACAAGGGAACAGTGAGACCTGCCTTATTCACATCAAGGAAAAATCAAAAGACTAAGTTTCATCTTATGAAATAGCCAACACAAAGAAGATGTCACACACCAAGTCATACAAACTATTGACTGGTCACCCCAATATTGGACATGGTGAAAATGAAGCATTAGCCAAATGAAAACTGAATCATATGAAGGTTGCAGTGAAGAGACTAGCAGTGAAATAGTGGCAGAAGATTTTTATTTTCAATGAATACGGTAAAACTTAAAAAGGCAGAAGATGGTCATCTTTGTATTCTTGCATGACTCAGAAGGAAACTATGTAGGAGAATTACTTCAATACTCTTCTTTTTGTTGTTTTGCAAGAAGAAGAAAAAGGGCCTTCGTTAGGAAAAGGAACACCATTACCCTGGGAATCTTTGTACATTTTGCGAGGAAAAAGCAAGATATTTCATCATATAAAAGGATTTGTACTCACAATTACCATATACCTCACCAAGAAAACAGAAATAGGCATATTGTTATATTCTCATCTAAAAGATGTTAAATTTATGCCCTCTAGTGTGAAGTAATAGTGATCTGTTCTTGGATTATTGTTTGAGGTTAGAGTGATTGTCTGTTGGGAAGTGTGGACATAAAACAATCAGATGTCTTAGGAATGTAACAATGATTGAGAGATAATACAGGCAATGAAGCTAAATCATTGACTAATTAGTTTCCTCGATCCATTGAACTCTAAAAAGGATATCTGCTGTTTTACAATCTGGATAACATGGGTCTTGCAATTTTGATTCAATGAGGAGCACTAAGCTGACATTCTGCTACAGTTAGATATATGTACATGAGGTAAAGAGGTGGGTAGGTGGTTGGGGAGAAGGATATAAGGCGCATCAAAGATCAAACTACATAGAGTTTCTTATGCTCATCATTCAGAATATCTATGTCAGACATATATGACATTGATAATGACCTAGATCTACTATTAATTGAAGACCTCCGAATGCTCCGAATTTTTGAAGCCTCAATACGGTTCACAATCAACCAATAACACAATGTCCCCAATGTTGATACCATGATAACAGTCCCTATACCAGTAATAAGATTAGCTAACCACCTCTCATCTTCTCCAACTACAATATACGAGAGGGCAAGAAATGCAACTGAAATCAGCACACAAGCCAACCACATGAGCTTATTAATAACTGCCATCATCTGCTTCTTCGCATTTCTCTGTATAACTACAACTGAGGTTTGCACTACCACAACAGCCAGTGATATAAAGAGGGCTATGGAGTCAAACACAATAAAAATCATAAACGGCAGCTTTGAAGCGATTCTTGCTTGTCCTGGAGATACTCCTGGTGCAATATCTTCAGGACTGTCAGCATATTGGCCTGGGACATTGAAAATGGCCGCAAATGCAATAGTGGCAATGAGAACTGCCACCACTGTGGTGGAGTTGATTGCATTATTGAGACCTTCAACATGCATTTTGTTAAGCCGCTTAGCTATGCCTTGCACGCGTTTTCCTGTTTGGCGTGTATGCTCAAGCTGGTGATGAACCCCATTCTTTATATCACTTACAGTTTGTTTTAGTTCTCGAGCTGAAGTTGTAGGTTGCGACTTGATGAATTTGGCAGACTGAACTCCATGCTCTCTTAAGATGCCTGCAATATCAGATCGCTTATTTTTCTCTGCAGTGTCAAGAGCCGTTTCCCCAAACTTGTTGATGACTAGTTTGTGAACTCCACTGTCGTTTAGCAGCTTTTGAACAATCTGAAAGATTGCAATAGTGATTAGACAGGGTCACAGACTTTGCAAACTTTATATGAGAAATTAATATTCTATCAGCAAATATGGTTAGTTAAGAAAAAAACCATCATATAAGGAACTAAAGTTTGGAGCCTATCCTAAAGCATCCAGAATGAAAACCTGTTCACTACTTGCAGTATTAGCTAAGATGATTCTCAATATCTGACAGAAGATGCAAAGCCATATAAATTCACCCTATAATAAATTAAGTTGGCCAAAAATAAAAAAAGCCACACTCTAAAAAGGAGAACTAACAATTATAAGTAATAAAACCTTAACTACCTGAATCCGACCCTTTTGAGTTCCTATATGCAAAGCAGTGTTGCCCTTAGTATCAACCGTGTTTATTAAAGAAGGATCCGACTTTATCAGCTCATCTACCACTTCAACATTCTTTCCTTTAACTGCCATGTGTAGAGCTGTCTGGCCCTTCTTGTCAATTCTCGTTGCAATTCCAGGTTCTTTAGACAAAAGGGCCTTTACTATCTCTAAATGCCCATTCTTTGCTGCCGAATGCAAGGCAGTTTTCCCATTTCTCCTTGCTATTGTGGCCATGTTGCTGCCTTTCTCCAAGAGGAAATTCACCACTTCAGTGTGGCCTTGTGATGCAGCAGTATGCAATGCAGTGGTGTTTAAAGAATCAGAAGTCATTGAAAGATCAAGGTTGGCCTCCATGAGAATCTTCAATATCTCTGAGACAATAGACAAAAACGATTTAGAAAAAACCTTTATCCCCAAGGACAATCTCTTACTCAACCAGTTTGAGAATAATCTGTAGGAAAATACAAACACGCTATAAGGAATTGAAGCTAGTTTGACTAAAAATTCGGGATTGGGATAAAACATGGAAACTTTAAACAATTCAGATGACTTCAACAAAAGTACAAAGTTGACTACAAATCTTGCAAGTCCTTAATAAATAAAAACAGAAATAATTTGATAAAATATTTGCTTAAGAAATTGCAGGGTTGGACTTTCATCATGGTTCTTAATTTCTTATCCAACATGATCATTTTGCGAAAAGCAATCTTAGAAACTCACCCAAGTCCCCTTGCTTGGCAGCAATATGAAAAGCATCATAGCCATTCCTTGCTTGAGCACCCGCCAAATCAATATCATAGTACTTCATCATTTCCTTCACTAAATCGGCATAACCACACTCAGCAGCAACATATAGGGCAGTTTCACCTGATTGATTCTGCTTAGACAACAAATCCTTCAACTCTCCATCATCACCACCACTAATTATTTCCAAAACCAATTCAAAATCTCCTGCTCTCACAGCTGAGTGCAGCGGTGTATCATCCCTTTTACCTGTCATCTGCTTTGTCATCTTCTTTTTCCCGAAGCCAAAGCTTTGCTCCATTCCCCGTAGTTTCCTGCTCCTTTGCTTCCTTTAATGCAAACTCCCGAAACGAAGAATGAAGTTTTCCCCCTTCTTGTTGATAGTTTTGATTTCTTTTCAATCAAAACTTCAATTAGTCACCATACAGACAGATCAAAAACTACATCCTAAGCATAAAGAATCCCTGAAATCAATATAAAAAGATAAGATGATTCAGAAGACTGACGAGATATGTATGCACGAGGGAAACCTGAGAGCTTGATTTCCTTGATATCACCATAGTCTTAACATTTTGTCTTGCATCCGAAATTCAGTACATATTTAAAATAAAATAATTAAACCCACTTGTCTCCCCACTCATCATTATAATATCCACAGTGTCGTATCAATAATTATCACCACAAATCATAAATGTCTTTTAAAAAAAAACAATAAAAACACAAAAGGTAAACCATCGGATGAGCACTGTAACTTTGAGACTTTGTTTCATGTTTTGAATCTTTATCTTCATTCAATGAATCAAAGAAAATATTTGGGTAGTCACATTTCACTGCCACCTATAAAGTCAAAGACCCCAAGTGAAGACAAAAATCAAATGAAGAACTGGTTTTTCCCTTCTTTTACTTACCTTGGTTCTTGGCTTTGAAATAGACCAAAGCTCCCCTGTCTCTCTGTGTTCTAGAAACAGCGAAAAACAAAGGTAAAAATTCTTTAAAAATTTCAAAAAAAAAGAAATGGGGTTGTTTAGAACAAAAGAAGGGGAAGAAATGAAGAGAAAAATTAGAGGCGAAAATGGGCAAAGAGGTGATGGTTACCAGCCATGGCAAGTGGGGGGAGTTATTAGTGCAATAAGCCGTGTAACTTGTAAGCAAGCAAACACCGTTGAAAACTAGGGAACTTGCCGTTGGATTCTCTTTAAGCTCCCAGTTCTGATGTGTCCCACGTGGTACGAAGATATCCAATTGTTTTCTTCCACGCAAGCATTTCAATGAATGACACAAGGCCCACCACCCAACTCAAATAACGCGAGGGTTGTTGGCTGAGGTGATTTTGGCGTTCGTACGTAAGCAATATCCGTGTGGAGCATAGGCAAGCAAACATGGTTACGAATTTACACGTGGCTCTCATTGATAGGAGTCATGGACACAGACCCCACGTGGCGATCTTCGCACGTCGCCGCGTGATATCCTGTCGATCATAACCGTTCAACATTCGATTATTATCATTTAATTATTCGTGTTTTCTTTTTTTTTAATTATTTTAATTTTGATTTAGCAATTTTTTTGTGACTTTTAAGTATGGGAAAATTCAATAATAGGGAGGCACGTGAAAACATTCCCGAAATAAATAAATAAATAAAGAAGAAAAATTAAGGTTATAAGTATAGCAGTAAAAGCAGTCCATGTTTCTAGAATTATAGAAAGAATCTTTAGTTTCAAAATTTGAGAATTATGATAGCAGAAAAGTTATTGGTATAATAAACATCAACATCTTAAGATATAAAATAATAAATATTATTTTAATTAATAATAATTAATCAATTAATTATAAGATTTAAAAAGTGATAAATTTAAAATTTTATATTAAAAGTAACTCTAAGATATGAAATTTGTATTTTAAATTATATATATTAAAAAAATTAAAAATTAAATTTTAAATGATACCACCATCATTTTGACTTCATTATTAAATGTAATAAAATTTAAAAAATTTAATTGAATGTAATAAAAAAATTAAAAAATATGAAAAGAGTAAGTGACAAATCAAGAAAAAAAATACTATTTTACTTAGTTAAAAGAAAAAAAAAAGAAAATAAAAGAGATTTTATTCTTAACAAGAAATGGACGGTGGGTGATGATTTTAGAATCAAACCAATAATAATGGAATAAGGATTTGAGACTTTTATTTATTTATTTATATTAATGAAAAAAATAAGGTAAAAAAAGGGTATAAAAGTCAAAATAAAGTGTTCCCCGACTCGGCCATGAAAAGCAGAGTACCGAAAAGGACGGCCGCGGTTGACCATGTAGGCCAATGAAAGCCCCAAGTCAAGGCCGCCACATAAATTTAACGAAAGAAAAAAGGGTGGGCCACGGGAGTGTACTCGGGCCTCTTTTGGGGTACCACGTCGAGACGCTGACGCGCACTACGTACATGTTCCGACCTGGTGGCCTGCGTCGGGACCGAGCACCGAAAGTCATATGCGGGACAAAACTCACAAAAAAAGAGACACCTTTGGTTGGCCTTTTCGATTGATTTATCTAAGAGTTTTTTTTTTTAATTCCTTTTCGATTTCACACGATGCTTAATGCTTTAGATCAACCTGTTTGTTGCACCGCGTTTCCTGATGTCTTGTCCGTTTTATTTCCAGAATCCAAATTGTTTGGACGTCGAGAAAGTTAACAGGGAAAGTGCAGGATAAAATTTCAGGGACCCATCACCCCATTTAATTATTGTACAAAAACGTAGTATCAAGAAGAGATGTGTTACAAGCATTCGTGACAGCCAGTGCCCACTTCCAGTCTTCCACTATGTCAAATTACATCATTAAAACCTAAAAAAGGAGTAGTAATTAAATGGGTTTTTTGAGGCAAGACCATAGCATCAGTCAAATGGAAATAAGGCATTGACACGGTTTCAATTAGCATTAAGTTGTGCTTATTAATGGCGTGGGAGAAAAAATGGAGTGAACCAACTTCTAATTTAACAAAAAGTTCATGTTAGAGCTATTCATTGTTCCCCAAATTCCCACTGGAAAGCCAGGGGTTAACATCAATGGGAGACTTTGTGCTTAGCTTTTACATCTTTTTCCCATGTGAGATTGGCTCCATCACCATGGTTCGGGGCCACTAGGCAAGTTGCACAATAAAGTAAATGAAGCAAATTAAATGGCTCTCACTGAGAGCACGAGCATGTTTATAATGAGTCAGTGTTTGCAAAAGAGCACTAAGAGGGGAAAGAAAGATGATAAAATGGCAATCTCTTTCAGGATGTGGATTGCTTAACTAATGCCAATCCATGTATCAGCAATATCTTGTTTCTTCATGAGCTGTTTTTTTTTTTTTTTGACTTAGGGCACCATTTCCACCGTCCTCTTCACTGTTCATTGTGCGGCCATCTCTTTTGGCCCATTGGTGGGCAGGGCTACATGGTGAGGGGTAGTTGTATCTGGCTCACTCTTCCCAACAATCCCTCTCCATCAGCCTAAATGGCAGTCTCAAATCATTCATGCAATTACCAGCAAACTTTATTAACCAGGGTATTAGCTTAAATGTAGCATTTCCACCATTAGTTATTAGGTCTTCACTATGGTTTTTGATGGAAACTAGTCCTGCATGCCAACAGATGCAAGAAAGTAAGAAGCTCCTGAGATTCGTGTTACATGATATGTTGACATAGGATTCAGATAATTTTTGAAGTAAAAGGAAAAGTAAGTAAAGGGAAGAATGAATGATAAGAGAGTACCTTTTCTGCATTGTCCATTTTCAATCAACACATTTGGCCTGGATTATGTCATTGGAAGCTAAAAAAATCACAACAATCAGATGACACAAACCAAAAATGTCTGCACTTTACAGTAAAAAATCTATGTCCAACCATCTGGTTCAACAGTAAATAATGTATGCAACGTCTTTACAGCATGGTTAAAGAAAAAGAACAAAGAGCCAAGGCTGCATTATTTTATGTTTAGTTGCAGGTTTCATTTGCTTACCAGACACATTCACACGTGCAAACAAAAGCAACAGGTCACACATTCTGTTCTACCAATGAACGGACCACTATCTATTTCCATTTTTGAATAGCGGATGCCTGTTGTGCAACCTAAATATATTACAATCTCCAGGATTTATATACCACAACAAAATAACCATGTGGTATTCATCTGGTTCCTGTAAAGTTTAAGTTGTCTGGACCAGTGTCTTATGTTCATCCTCAAAATCATGCTAAAAAGGATTAATAAGAGAGAAGAATCCATTGCCTCTGTGAACACTCACCAGCTGTACTTTGATCCCAAGATCTTGTATTTACAGAATAAAGCTTCTTACAGCACAAAGCTGCCCCCTTTTCTGCTTCAGTCATTACCTTGAGTTACAAGTTATAGGTGGCATCATATGCCAGTTCCAAGCAGTATAAACATTAAATAGCATAGATTGGGTTCACTTCGGAATCAGAATCTGATACACACAATGAGTGTGTTGCATTCCTTGAATTCTTCTCTTTCTTTTTTACTTTTCGAATCCTTTTGTTTTTGACAACAAAATATGTCATGGTACCAAGAACCCCAGCCATTATCACTCCTCCTATAACGGTAACAAAATTTGCAGCCCACTCGTTATGTCGACCAACCACTATATATGATGAAGACATGAATGAAATACTAGTGAAGACAGAAGCCAACCAGATCAGCTTATTGATTACTTCCACAACCCTCCTCTCGGATTTCATCTCTCCTCTTACAATTGTGATTTGTACCACCACAACAGCAAGTGAAATGAAGAGTGCAAGGGCATTAAAGATGAAGAAGATCTTAAATGACACTCTGCTGACGGCAACAGCCATTCCGCTGTCATTATCACCCCCAGGAACTGTGAAAATAGCTGCAAATGCAACTGTTGCAAAAAGCACCGCTACCACTGTGACTGAATTGGTGGCATTGTACAGACCTGCCCGATGAAGTTTACGCAGCTCCACAGCAATGCCATTCACATTTCTGTTTGTTTTGCGGGTTTGCTCAAGCTGGGTATGCACATCTTTCTTGATCTCTGTCACTGTTTTCCTGAGCTCATCTCGTGGTTGGTTTAGCTCATTTGCCCTGACAGCACCATAACGAGACAAACAGTCCTTTATTTCAGCAATTTCCTCTGAGAGTGGAAGCCCTTCAGCTATGTCAAGAGCTGTTTTATGGTCTCTTGTAAGCGCATTTACACTAGTGTCAGGGAGGTGTAAAAGTTCATTCACTATCTGCAAGAAACAACTTAGTCAATGCCCTCTACTAACTCTTTCCAGGGTTGTCATTTATTTATGTTGCTTATATCCTAATCGTTTGACCATGTTCAAAACAATAAACTTAAAGCAATGGAAATATAATGCATATGAAGTGAGAAATTGAGGACACAAAATATGGGAAGAAAAATGGAGGGAAAAAATGGGAGCAACAGAAAGAAACTAAAGGCCCTGATATCAGCAGACAGAACTGAAAACCACAGACCCCATGTAAGATACTGAAGAACTACTGCCTTAAACATATGGTAAACCGTGCCACTGGAAACAATATTTTAGATACCAGTTTTTATCTTCAGTTAGGAACAGGAAAAAAAGACAACTTGAGCCATTGCAGCCAAATTGCAACTCTGACAGCTACTCATAACACTGAAGAGGCAAACCATTGTGTAATATGTATATATGTATAATACTAATCAATACCTCTGCCCGTTTTTTCCTAGTAGCCACATGTAACGCTGTATTACCAAACTTGTCTGGGAGCATGACAATGGCTGAATCTGCCTGAAGAAGCAACCTCACCACCTCACAGCTTACTCCTTTGACTGCCATATGCAATGCTGTCTGTGCTTTCTTATCAGTCCTTCTTGCCAACTGTGGATCCTTGTCAAGCAATGCTTTAACAATATCAACATGCCCTTGCCTGGCAGCAAAGTGTAATGGATTTTTTCCATTTGATTTTGATATCTCTAGCAAGCTAGGATCTTTGGAGAGCAGTTCTTTAACTACAGCTGTATGTCCTTTTGTAGCTGCAGACACAAGAGGGGTTGCATTTGCTTGGCCAACTGTTTTACTAAGTCCTGGATCATGGTCCAATAGCACCAGGACAATGGCTGCATAAAGGTAGTTATTGAACTGAGACAAACTGCAGTTATGCAAAAGAACATAAATGAAAAAAACCTGAAAACATGCAACTTGCGACAAGAGATTAATTCATCAACAGCCTTGGAATAACAAAATCATGCACTGCATGCAGTTGAAAGATATAGTGATATAAGCACTTGGAAGAGTTATGTCCAATTTGATGTTTAAAGTGGACGCTATGGCAAACAGATTTGTTATGTTGTTTCCTATTTTACTTTCCTTGCAAAGTTTGAATGCCTTGAAAATGGCACTAAGAATCTTGACTCAGGAAAAGAAAAAGACATTCAGAATAATGATTTTGATCCCTTCACAATTCAGCAAATGGCAGTTATTAAGATTTTCATACTTGTAAATACTATGACTGTTTGCTAAAACATTGATTTCAGAAGTAGCTATTGTCAATTTCTCATGTACCAGCACGTGACTTTGATCTTCAACCATTAAACTTTTTGGTAGCATGAGAATACTAAGTGTTAATCTCAGAAGTGATGAAAACCTCCATGTTAAAATAGATTTATGACATACTTTGTTAGATAATGCCAATTTTTTTGCTGTATAAACAAGCAAATTTCTTGTTTATCCAGCAACCAATGAAGGTGCTCTGAATACAGGTGACAAGAAAGTAACTCTCTGCAATTAACCTGTTACCCTTCGAAGCTCTTCTCAACCCCCGCCCCCCTTTTTCTTTTTTCAGACAATTAGACTGATGGAACAACTCATCAAGGCTATGCCTCAAATATCACCTTTCAACAGAAAAGCAGTACCATCTTTCTTAACATGAAGATATATGACTGATGATTCATGAACTTCAGGATTGTGTAGAAGCATTTCAAACTAAATAAATTATATTCAATTTCAACCTTCACTATAACATAAGAGAGAAGGCTAGTCCTAATACCTTCATGACCTTGGTTGGCTGCAATATGCAATGGATCAAATCCCGATCGATTCTTCAATGAGATGCCCTCCTTAGTCGTATACTGCAACAGCTCCATAACCACATCCAAATGCCCCTTCTCAGCTGCAGTGAACAATGCTGTCTCTCCTAATTGATTCACCTCATTGACAACTGCTAACCTTATTTCTGCCACCTTGTTAACAAAAAAAAAGGGAGACACATAGACAAGATCAGAACGAGAATGCAACAGACATTTGCCAGTATATACTTAAATTTATATCTCACTTGGCATCACATTCAGGATTTTCACAACAGTATACTTGAAATTTGAAACCATGTTGATAATATGCATTTAAGATTACAATAAGAGTAAAAGTATATGCTGAGTCACTGTTTTATAAATAGCTCATCTCATCATCAAATTCCTCATTAACCTTGAACCTATTCCTATAGTAACAAAAAAAAGTATGCCTTCAAGATTGTCAGAATAAGACATCCACATGGATGCATTGTTTAATAAACATCTCACCTCAGCATCAAATTCTGCTCCACTAAGTGTCCCCATCATCTGAGCATCAATTTCAGCCAAAATCTGCCTGACTGCTCCTACATCACCACGCTGTGCTGCCAGGTGTAGCTCAGTGTCATTGTGGCGGCCAGTGACTTGTTTCACGTACTTCATTTTATCAAATCGCTTTCCGGAATTAGAACCTGCAAGAAACTTGCCAGAATTGGACACCACTAGGGCCTTTCCTGAATTGGATACCACTAAAGCCTTCCCTGAATTGGACGCCATTAAAGCCTTCCCCGAATTTGATAGAACCAGAGCAGGCCTTGGCGTCGTTGGAGAAGGACGAGGTATTGTTTCTGCCAACTGGGCAGGCCAATGAGGCGGAGAAAGTCCCTTCTCCAGATCCTTCTCGCATTCTTTGCAGGTATCATTCATGTTCAAAAGCAAAAAATCCATAAATTCTAAAATATAACCTATTAAAAGCAATCGTTATAGATCAAATCCTAGATTCTGTGCTGTGTTTCATTGCTCAAAATGTATCCACATTTCATCTTTTTCCCTTCTATCTGTAAATGCAATGCCATGTCAACCTTTACATTGCATGAAGGTGAATGTTATCAATTTTCATTTTCTTTTTTTTTAATTTTCTCTCCATTTCATTCATCTGGGATTTCTCAAAAAACCAAAAGGATACTCAACAATAGCAAACAGAAAAAAAAAAAGAGAATGTACCTTCTTCTTTACCAGACCCCATCAAGAGATGCAAAAGAGAACACTATGAAATCATCTTCTCCATGATTTCCATTGATCGTTGATGGAGAAATTATGGTAAACTGAGAAAGGAAATAATCTAAAGCAAAGAGTGGAGAAGAAGAGGAAATGAAGGAAGCCAGAAGCCGCGGGGCCTACCAGGTCGACCGCCGGGGCCACCGGAGGTTTGCGAACTCAGCTGCTTCCTTTTTGCCTTTTTTGTAATGTCGTTAGTTTGCCCTTTTTTGCCATGTCCATATCATGTCTCGTTGTGATTTTACCGTAAGATATGGCAAATGGATAAACCCAATAAACCATTCAGACAAGACAGATGCCATTTGGTCTGAGGTAACTAACTTATAACGACCACTTTAAACCTTATTTTATTCTTCATACTATTTCATCTTTGAGTTGAAATTACATTAAATTAATCTTAATTAACCTTATTTTAATCCTAATTAATCACTTCAAAAACTATTAACAAATATTTTACTAGTGTTTTATTTCTATTCATGACACTTTGGGTAAATCACATTTTTGGATCAAAATATGTGGGCATCACGGCCCATTAGCACTGCTCTATCCTTCACTTTACTTGATCAAAGACAAAACCTGTGACAAAAGTGCAAAGGCAAAATGCCAAATGCTTTCCAAAACTGTTAAATTCGATGCTCCCACACCATCTGCTAACGCTTTAATTGGAAAAACGTAACCCCCAAAGATTTGTCGGCAAATACTGTTTCTAGGCAATCGACCAAGAGACTAGACCTCTAACAAGCTTTTCTACGTTGCAAGGCAATTAATTTTTCTAACGCCCTGTTGCCATTATTAATGGGGAACGCTCACGGCCACCGCAAGAACCGTAACAACCGCGAGCACTCTGGCTCTTATCCGACGCCCGTCCCGCCTTATTATAAATACGGTCCGACTCCGCAGCCCCGAGTCCCAAGCTCCACGACCCAACCCCAGATGGCTCTCTCTTTGCCCTATACGAATGTCGATTCCAGTCTTCGAGCCCTTGCCGGCCAAGCTGAGGGCTTTGGTCGGTTCGCCATTGGTGGCCTCCATGGCCCTCTCTACCATGTCACTACTTTGTCAGGTACAGTTACTCGCCTTTCTATTTTACATTTGATTTTAATTGCACTGTTAAAAAAACTGTTTTTCTTTTACCATGTAGTTCTTTGGTTTGAGTCCTGTTCCTTTGTCTAGAAGGAGAAGTATATCCTCTTTGGTTCCTTGGGGAACTATTGAAGGTTTTTTAGGCGGATTGTGCTTAGATTTCCATTCGTACGAACTATGGTGTTAAAGCTAAATTGAAGCCTCATTTAGATAGATTGTTCGAATATCAAATTAAACATGGGTTTTCCCTTTTTATGAGTGTTTTGGGAGAAAGTTGAGACTTTAGACAGAGGGCTTTGAATTTTAGTCGATTTAAGTTGAACTTGATTAGGGAAGCTTCTTTTGTTGGTTAGGTAACAAGTTTTGAATATTTAGCTAGATTGTTGGAATTTCAGATTAAACGTTGGTTTTCCCTTTTTATAAGTGTTTTGGGAGAAAGTTTAGACTTTAGACAGAGGACTTTGAATTTTAGTCGATTTAAGTTGAACTTGATTAGGGAAGCTTCTTTTGTTGGTTAGGTGACAAGTTTTGAATTGATAAGAGTTGTATATGGGCCCTTGAGATCTCTTGTGTTGAGAAAATGAAATTGACTGTGGAGTATGGACTATTTAGTTACTTATGTGAAATTAAACATATTTTTTATATGCAATTGTAGATGATGGGCCGGGATCATTGCGTGATGGTTGCCGTAGAAAAGAACCCCTTTGGATTGTCTTTCAAGTTTCAGGAACCATTCATCTTTCATCTTACTTGAGTGTGTCATCTTATAAGACCATTGATGGACGTGGCCAAAGGATAAAACTCACTGGAAAGGGTTTAAGGCTGAAGGAATGTGAACATGTTATAATATGCAATTTGGAGTTTGAAGGTGGTAGAGGACCGGATGTTGATGGGATTCAAATAAAACCTAACTCCAAGCACATATGGATAGACCGTTGCAGCCTTCGTGATTATGATGATGGATTGATAGATATCACACGAGGAAGCACAGATATTACAGTATCCAGGTATGGTTTATCATTGTCAGGAAAGTAACCACTGTTTGAGAAGGTTAAAACTTGCACTAATTGATATCATTAACTGGGCTTTCAGGTGTCACTTTTCACAGCATGACAAGACGATGCTCATTGGAGCAGACCCCTCTCATGTCGTTGATAGATGTATCCGTGTGACCATTCACCATTGCTTTTTTGATGGGACTCGGCAACGACATCCCCGTGTTAGATTTGGGAAGGTACATTTGTACAATAATTACACTAGAAACTGGGGCATTTATGCTGTTTGTGCGAGTGTGGAATCACAGGTGATGATTCTCCTACTATCTTAAATTGTGTTTTTGCTTAAATTTCATTGAAGGTTTCTTCATTTCAACCTGTTATGTGTTCTACTTGGAGAAAGTTAATAACAGTTTTATGTTCTACTTGACATCAGATATACTCTCAGTGCAATATATATGAAGCAGGGCAGAAGAAGGTGGCCTTCAAGTATCTTACCGAAAAGGTAACTCTTTTTTATTTGCTTCTGAATAAGTATTTGAAGTTTACTTGATAATATAGAAACCTTTTTGCATTATTTTGTATTGAGCAAAATATTATTCAGTTAGGAAGGATCTCTTGCTATCTAACGTCCATTATATGGCTCTTGAAGAAGAAAGAGATTTACCTCTCTTAATGTTCCCTCAAGTCTTACCGTGGAATCCATGCTAGGCATTCCCTTCGGTTGAGAAGCAATGAATTCTCTTCCGTATATTATCAATTGTTTTTCAAATTGTCAAATTTTTATCTTAACTGTTTAGAATGTCTATGACATTATCTCGTAGAAAGACATGAATTCTCCATGAGGTCTTGAAAGTATTTAAAAAGGGCCTCTGGCTTATGAGAACAAGACTCCACCTCATAACTAATGGTGTGCACTAAATTTTAGAGGCAGAAAAGAAGTGGGTAAGATACTATATTGGCAATTTTATTATTGCTTGAACTGGTATATTCGTTTGTGAGAGAAACCAGGATCCATCAGCAACTAGTAGTTACAACAAGCAGAGGAATGATGAGATGTCTGTAGGATCCCTTTTCAGAATAACAACATAAGTTTAAGCCATGTCTATGAATGTTGTAGTGTATTATTTAGTTTCTAATTGGTAGGGCTGATGCAAGATTTGATTATGAAGAAAGCTTATTTTAAGACACAGGATCATTTATATCTTTTATTTTCTGAAAATACTAAATTTTTTGTGATTTAATACATGTTGTCATGTAGCTATTGGCACTTAATTAATAGAAAATATTGGTCCATGGATTGGTTATACAGGCTACTGACAAAGAAGGGCCTTGCACTGGCTGCATAAGGTCCGAAGGGGATTTGTTTATATCTGGAACCCAAGCAGGCTTGTTGACTGAGAATGCTATGTCCAACTTGTTTCATCCAAGTGAATACTACCCTACATGGACTGTGGAACCTCCAACAGATACCCTTAAACATGTTATTCAGCACTGTACAGGATGGCAGTGTGTCCCTCGACCAACTGAAGCGGCCTAGTAGCTAATTGCTGCTGCAATCACCTTAAAAGATTCTGCACCTGTACATGTAGTTGCATTGTATAAATATAAATCATAATAAATTTTAATAAAACACTATGTTGTCAATTCATGGTCTTTATTGCTTTCTCTCAAGGGGGCATGATCTGTCAGTTGTAGGCCAACGACCATGTATATCGTTTTCGTTCTCATTGCCATATGTGATCAAGCTTTCTTGGCTCAGTTCTACTCGTATTCCTGTTCCTTTCATGCAATTATGCTGCAGGACCAATCAATGAGTTCTGGAAGCTGAAACAGGAAGCTGCCACGGTTGGGTTATAAAATTCAAAGAGTAAGAAAAATTGGGGTTGAAACTGAAACCTCCCCAAAACTCAGACAAGTACGGAAAATATCTGTGGTGTTTGCGACCCGGCACCATGAGAGGTTACAAAAGGTTCTAGTGTCAAAATGTTGGGTCGCATCTGTTGGAAATTTGTTGTTCTGCATACAATGCCTGTCAAATCAAATCTCTTATGAAAGGTGTGCATATCGATTTTCTAATATCCAGAAATTTCTTTGTGGTATCGAATGGTATGAGGTGTTTTTCTCGATTCGAATCTTCTTCTCTTGATTTTTTTTTTTGGTTTTTGTACTTCAGTAGCAGATTTTATTTGACTGCCAATTTCTGCTTAGCTGAAATGTTCGTGTTTTCAATTTTGGTGCAACATTTTGTCCCATCTGGTACCTCTCTTTTCACACTGGAGACAAGTTTGAAGCCACGCGATGACCCTAGTAGTTTGATTCAATATTTGGTATATTTATTTTTCTATTTAAAGAATTAAGATTGAATATTTTTAAAAAATAAAAATAAAAAATCTAATTCGAATACAATTTTTTAAATTCAACATATATATATATATATATATATATATATATGTAGCTTTCTTATATATGAAAGGTAAGGAAAAATGGTATCACAAATTCACATTTTTTAATTTTCATATCACTTATTACGAATTTATATTTTTAATTATAAAATATTCTTAAAGTTTATACCTACGTAAGGAAATTGACAGTGATTTTTTGGTTTTAGTTTTAGATATATACGAAATTATATACTCAAGTCTTTCTGCACATTTCTCTTTCAGCAGATCAGCAATGGGCAGAAAGAGGAATGAATCTCCAGTCGTAGTGACATACAGAATAAAACAGATGTGGATGGCAGTCATGTAAAAAACACATAAAAGAACCGCTAAAACTTAAAAGATCGTTATATAACTACCTCAAAGTGATCGCCGATCTTTTTTTTTACGATCATGATAGATCGCCATAAAATTAATAAACAAAAACAAAAAAAAAAAAAGAACTTTACACTCTCAACGGTGATCGCATTTGTCGCCGACGAGACGACGTCGAAGAAGACGTAGATGAACTTCCGGAATTAACTGTTCCAAAGAACAAATCCGACAAGTAATTCCCTAAATCTTCGGGGGAAAATCTGACAAATAATCTCGCGGTTCTTTCATCTCCAACGGTTGACTTTTGTGCATCGTAAAACTCCCGATATACTGTGACGAGTTTTCTAGCAATGGAAAGCTTAATCTCGTCTCGCAATTTCGAGTCGGGTACGAGGCAAGAACTCTGCTTCCAGTACACATCTTCAAAGCTTGAATTAAATTTCCTGAAACATTCTTTAGCTGCCCCCGGTGACATCGAAGCGGTTGGATTCTCCGGCAATGAAGCGAACACTTGGCCCCACGCTAACCGCTCGTAATTTGCTGCGAACTGACTCACCTTAGCTTCGTGCTTCGTGATCCATTCCTCCCCGAGTAAATACTGGAGATTCGATGTACGGACTCTGGAAATTACGTGTTGGAGATTGTTCGCTAAAAATAGGTAAGATAGTGAGACGTCTTTGTAATGCTTTGCTTTCCCGTCCAGCTTGCAGAGTAGGACGAGGATTAGCCAAGCAATTTGGACGGAGATAGGCGGCACCGGAGAGTCGTCGGAATACGGACTGTCGAAGTAGGACTTTGGTAACGATGATTTCGCAGGCGCTGGCCAGTCTGAGATAATGTCGGTGAGGACGTTGCTGTAATCAGCGAGGAGCGTGAGATAATTCATCGAGTAGATTGTTAGAGAATGCAGACCGCCGCCTGGAATCATCACTTTGGACGAGTCCTTTTGGATTGTGGACTCAAAATCTGTCAACAATGACCGCACTGACTCACTGAGTCGAACCAGTGAGTTAAGTGCTTCTGATCTGACGGCTGAAGTCGATTCAAAAGAAAAGATCGTTTCGATCTCTTGCCAGTTCTCTGAAATAGCCGTGTACATATCGAGTACACGGAACATTTTCTCCGGCGGCGATCTTTTGGTCTTGGCGGCGAGTTCGGGGAATCCAAACAAAAGCGTGGCGCCTTCTTTTGAAATCTCGGTAAAGCAGGATTCTCTGATTGAATCTGACGTAGCAAACACGTGATCGCAGAGGATTCTTTCACCAGTGAAAAGGGTCCTTATGGAAACCTTCACAGCTTCTAACCAGTTCTTGATTTTCAAATCCAGTACATCCCAGTCCATTTTATTAATCTGCGAGGAGCTCATTTTTTCGATTCCAAGCTTGTAAATTCCTTCATCGATAATTGATTTCCGAATGATTTTGTAAATATGTATGCACTCTTTAGCGTAACCGGAAGCGATCATGCAATCCGCTATCGATTTTAGATCGGACATAGCCATAGAAGAAACTTCTTCCACTTCCGAGATGGAATCCCCCACCACGCGAATTTCATCTTCCGTTGAACCTTCATCATCATAATCAGACAAGCTTGATCTGGCGGAGGTCCGCGATGATCTGGTGGAAACCGATTCTGGATCCAAGTGAGCTCGATTCATCGATAAAATCTGGTAAAACTCTTTCTGAAGCCTCTTCATTGCGATTTGCATCAAATTTTGAGCTAGAATGAGCTTTTCCGAACCGGAATCTTCAGAAACTAACAAATGCATGATTTTTTGCAGCTCGTTAACGGATCTTATAAACTGCATGGCTTCCTTCTTGCTCTCGTAGAAAAGAGAGGTCACTTTAGCGTAAGCTGACGCATCAGCATCCCATTTCATGATGATGGTAGCCGCGGCGTCGATGGTTTGCTCGATCATGGATTCGGAGATTATACGGCGACGAGTGCTGGACAGCGAGGTTGTTGAAGGTGACATGGATTGGCGAGAAAGGGCAAACGACGGCGTCCTGGAGCTGAAGCAAAGGCTCCTCATTCCTTTTCTCGGCATTTTCTGAGATGGTGAGTGTTTTGAAGCTACTTTTTGTTTGGTTTTTGTTGGCGGCAGATGAATATGAAGAAATTTGGAATTTGGAGCTTAGCTTTAAGCTTCCTTGTTACTTGGCCGAGTTTTAAGTGGAATGGGACGTTTGGTGGGAAATATATAGACGTTGGATCAACATCGCCGTTGCGTGGGAGGGAAGAACGTGGGGTTAGACTTTTGACTTTTTGAGTCAGATAGCGATCCTTTACGCGGTACACGTGTCTCCTTGTAGCCCACTTCCATGACATTCCCACAAAACCATGCAAAGAAAATATTATTTTAAAAACAAAGAAAAATATAAAGCCTGCTAAATGTAAAATCAAGCTCACAAATAAAAATTTATATTCAACACATCATATAATTTACAGTATTTATTTATAAAAATTAAAAAATCATTAAAAATAAATATTTTTTAAAATTATAAAAAATTATTATAAGAATTCTTAACTTTTAAATTTAACAACATTTAGTTCCCTAATAATATATACATACAATATATCAAATATAAACAAAAAATAAAAATAGTAATTTATTATTAATCAATTTAATCACTTGGTGGAGCAAGTAATTAACTATACAAGTTGACAACTTATTCTAATGTTGGAAAAATACAATTTAATTACATTAAATTGTGGTGGTGCCTGTGTCCTATTCCTGTTGACTCGTGACTCAAATGCCACCTCACATAGTTGAAGGAAGACCTCTTAATAAAATCACGTAAGCAGATATATCATGAATTTCCACATGTTCAAATTGATCTAGTTTACTATAAGATTTGATATAGAATATTAGTTTGATAATTACTTGGAAGTAAAGCAAATATGTTCAAAAATAAGGGTTGATAAGTTTTTTGTATTAAACTTTTCAAACAATTTCCTTGGAAATATAAAGCCACAAGCTTCCGGAACAAGAAAGCATATTTAAGAAAAGTATTAAGCCGCTTTCCCACCTCTCTCATTTGGTTTTCAATTTTCTTTATACTCTGAGTCTTACAATTTGAATAATTTGCATTCATATTTAATTATATAAAAATTATTCACAAAGATATTTGATACACGGTTGTAGCCATCAATGAATAAAATTATTACCCTTACGTAAGTACACCATCTGATTAAGAAAGACCTTGTACTCTGACAGAAAAGGTGTATACATTCTGAGTACCGGAAACAATATACATATATTTTACATGCAGATCACGAGTTAATTAAGAACTATAAGTATTAATTACTCTTTGGGTCCCCGTTTATAGTTTATATGTTCATCTTTCCTTTTTTGATGTCTTAAAATTATGTTTTTTATTTATTAAATATCTAAAATTTTTAAACCATGACGAATTCAAAATGGTGCCAATCTAAAAAATTTAAATAGATCTTTATATTTTTATTTTGTTTAATTAAGTTTTTATATTTTTATTTAGAGTCAAATAAATTTTTGTATTTTTTATTTTGAGTCAAATAAATATTTATAATTAGTAATTGATTTAGTCATAATATTATTTGTTATTCTATGTCGTGTGACACTGACGTAGTATGTTAAAATATCATAATTGATTATGATATGAGATATTAACATATCATAATTGATAATGAGATATGTTGATTTGATATGATAACATGATCATATGATATATTTTACTTTTCATATCAATATCATATTAGTATCATATAGATATAAAATGACAAACGGTATTTTTTCTAATGACAATTAGTAAATTATTAGTCATAATAACTTATTTGATCTAAAATAAAAGTACAAGAATTTGATTAAACGTAATAAAAAAATAAAAACTTATTTGAATATTCTTAAATAGTTTAAGGATTTATTTGAACATTATACCTTTTTATTATTATAAATATAAAATTTGAGACATATAGATCCACAATCTTATACATTACCCTTTAACCACCCCTTATACAAGTTTTAAGTTTTACTTTTTATATGTTTTCAAACATATATATTATATATATTTTATTTTTTGACATTACAACTTAAGAAAATTTATAAAAATTTAAATTTATTATAAAACACATTAAGATCTATTTTTTCTTAAATTTTGTGAAAATTTTAACAAAAATAAAGAATTTTCCATGTATTGATTACTCCTTATTTTTGTTTCGTAAACTTTAACTTTTAAAAAAAATTTAAAATAAAGTAACAAAAATAAATATCAAAATGAGTTTGAATTCGGGAACATATATTGTTAACAACTTAATTTTAATCAAACAAAAGCATTTAAAAAAAAAAAACAATAAAAGCATTGCATTGTATAATATGTCAAATTTCTAAATAAAAAAATTAAAAAGTTTGACCAAATTTCATTTAAAACAAGTTGAGAATATTAACTATTTTCGGTATCATGACCAGCATCCAAATCATAGGTTTACAACCCTAATCATAATGTCCAATTAATTACCTTTTCTTTTTTTTTTTTTTGATAAGTGGTCAAATTTAGCTTTAAACAAGTTGGATAACCGCAAATGCTGCAATTTGCATTTGATCATCTATTCGATTTCATTCTACGTACAAAGTATATTGATTTAGGCTTTACCCACAAACAATATTTGACTTATAGCCTATAGTCCATGATTGACTTTTCTAATTATTCTCTTGTTACAAGTTGTCACACCTACGGTGCCATTATGTTGCAACCACGTCAAATATTAACACCTGTGGAAAAAAAAAAAATAACACTTGCTGAATTATAATATGCCAACTAAGTTGAACTAATTGTGCCAATTGAAGAAAAATCCAGGCAACATTAAACAAAATTTTCGTCAAACCTATATTAACCAAGCAACATGTACTCCCCATTTATTATTTCTTTTGCTTGATTATATTAGGCAAGAAAAGTTCTTGATAAGCATTTATCCCCAAGTGCACTTTTTTGAAATCCTATCACCTTAGAAATTCAGTCAAAATACATATGTTCAATTCTCTATATCTCTGCACAAATAAATAAGTTCTATGTGTTGAACTCGATGTATAATTAGATATGCCATTATCGAAATTCAAAATGCGAAAACATATATATGATTTAACAGCGAAAATAAGATTGATCGAATTAACTATTAATTTTGAATACGTAAAATCTAATTCCTTGATCTATTAACTTTTTAGTAGGTGAGAGAATTTTAATAATTTTGTGTAGATAAGAGAAGGGACCTAGTATTAAATTTATATAATGAATACTTAATGCTACTTATTATAAGATAGTTTGCTACACAGATTTACAGTTTATTAGATAAGATCAAATTTACTTAATCTGATTTTGATAAAATACAAAAAACAAAAACAAAAACAAAAACCAAATAATATAAGTTCATACTTTGATTTTATAGAAAAATCTAACATTATGTACTAAATTGAAGTTATATATTCAAGAATTACCAAGTCATTAATCCTATTTGTGGCTTTCATTGTTATTGAAATCTTCTTCTTTCATATGATGTTTACGTGTTTTCACGGTCAATCTTCCATAGCAAACAAAATAGCTCTTTTGCTTCTGTCGTCTAACAAAAATACAAACGAAAACATATCATTATTTATGCCCACAGCTTTTGATTCCTCTCCCAAGCTCTTTTACTTTTCTTTGAACAGATCATAACATTGCAATGAACCCATGTCAAGGTTGTAATGGGGACAAGCTCCGCTTCTTACGTCCCTAAACTAGAACACAAATGAATTAACCCATAGTTAAAGAGTGGCTGCCAGAAAGGTTGGCACTGTGACCACAATATTTATATATATGCCCACAATTCCCATGCGGTGTACAAAGTCTATACCTGATAAGTCATTGCGATGGAAGTCTGTTCGGATTGTTAAATTGCTTCACACATGTATTGACAAATAGGAACACTTTTGGTTTACATATTTCTTTTGCTCATCAACTTGTGTTCTTCAGTTTTAGTGGGAACAAGGCTCAAGGTTGAGTGCAGCATGGGGTGTTTTATTTCTTCATTCAACAGGATATGTACGGCTAATGGTGTTTCCCTGTGCTGTCGGGCAGAAGAAAATGACGAATTCTAGCATGAAAAACGGCATCCATGACAGTAATGACGGAATCAAGGTTTTATATCTAAGAAAGACGAAAACAATGTAATGTTTGTAGAAATAAAATTATAATTTTTTTAAAAAATAAAGATAAAATTATAAACTTTTTTAAAAAATAAAAAAAAATTATAAAATTTTAAAAGAAAACGAGTGCCCCTACTAGCCTCCCTTCCTCCGCCTCAGCATGGCAGAGTACAAAGATCATCAATGCAAATAGATGATTTGCCCCCGCTGCCATAATAAGTCATGAAACGTGCATGGACCTGCAGACAAACTAGACAGTCTCAAGTGGTAATAACCTTAAATCACTATCCCCTTTCGACTTTAAACGCCCTAAACATTGTTGGGATCAATCTAAAAAGGTTTATCCATTTGTTTCTTAATTTTGTTCCAAAAGAAATCACATATATATATATATATGCATTCAAATATATCAAAAATTTCACCTCAAATAATTTTATTAGTTGATGATAGTATATAAGCAAGTAGGTTAACCATCATTTGCTCTTAGCTTCACCAAAATTGGATCTGCTCTTTAGCGATATTGAAATGATATAATTAAAAATAAAGCTTCTAAATTTCAAGCATAATACTCAAATAAGTTTTTAAATTATTTTAAAAAATTAAAATAAATTTTGATATTTTTATTACGTTAAATCAAATACTTATACTTTTATTTTAAATTAAATAAATTTTTATAATTAATTATTATTAATTAAAATATCACTTATCATTTTATCTTCATATAATACTGAACATGGCGTTGATATAAAAATAAAAAATACTACATAATTATATTATCATATCAAATTCATATATCAAGTTCTCATCAATTATAACATATCAATATATTACATCATCATTAATTATGATATATAAACATGTAATGTCAACGTCTAATATTTTAATTAAATCGATCATTAATATTTAAATTTTATTTAATTTAAAATAAAAATATAAAAATATAATTAAATATAATAAAAAATTAAAAAATTAAAATTTATGTTAATATTACGCCGAAATTTTACAA